TGAATTATGTTCTGATTGATATTATTTATATGATTTTCCGCTTAAAATCATAGAATACTTAACTATAATTTTCAGTAACTGTTGTGCCAATTTTTTTCCATGGCTCCGAACCCAGCAAATTTTTTCTATTAGTCTCGCACAATCTCTAGACTTCAACGCAGCTACAATAATACTATTTTTAGTGATTTTATCTATTACATGGTATGAATCACTATGAATCGTTCAAATTCTTTTTTTCGGAAGCTTTTGACATTATCTTATTTTTAGGAACAATCACAGCTAAAGGTGCTGATGTTTATTCGTATGATGAAGATGATATGGTTGAAGATCCAAATCTTGCTATTCATTTATCACATTGGGGAATTAATATGGTTAAAATGGAAAAAAGTGATAGATCAATGGCTGATTTAGAAATTGAATTAAATCAAAAATATGGTGAAGCCTCCATGATTGAAGAAGCTAATTCAAAATTACAACCTGTATATGGACCAGGTAGAAAATTCATAATTTTGTTTTTAAATAATTATTTATTATTTTCAGGTTATACGGGAATGAGAAATTTAGGAAATTCATGTTATATGAATTCTGTAATGCAAGTTTTATTTACTTTGAAAGATTTTCAAGAAAAATTTTATCAACCTTGTGATTTTTATTTTGATAAAGCTAAAGATCCAGCAAATGATTTTAATGCCCAAACAGCTAAATTAGCTGTTGGTCTTTTATCTGGTCGTTATTCAAAAGAACATTCATGTAATAATGACGTATCATTACAAGCGCCATCAGGTATTCGTCCACAAATGTTTCGTCTATTAATTGGTCGTAATCATCCGGATTTTAGTACAAAACTACAACAAGATGCAGCTGAATTTCTTCAATATTATATTGAACAAATACATAATCATTGTAAAAAGGATCCAACACCAAATCCATTACTTGATCCAAGTACTTGTTTTCAATTTGAACTTGAAGAACGTATTTATTTTCCTGAAACAAATCAAGTACGATATTTAACACGTAACGATTCAATGTTTAGATTAAATGTTCCAATATCAGCAGCAAGAAATATGCATGAAGTACTACAATATAATAAAACAAAAGAAGATATGGAAAAACAAGGCAAAAAATTAAATGATTTACCAGTTGTACGTCCAATAATACCACTTAAAGAAGCTATATCACAATGGGCTGCACCAGAAGAAATTAATGATTATAAATTACCACAATATGGACGTACTACAACAATAAGAAAAACTCAAAAATTTTTAACTTTTCCGGATTATCTTTTTATTCAATTAAAGAAATATACATTTAATCCCGATTGGACACCAAGAAAAATTGATGTTTCAATGGAAGTACCTGATGAACTTGATCTTAATTCATTACGTGCAACTGGTCTTCAACCTGGTGAGATATTAATCACTGATGGTAAAAAAAAATTCTACATTTTTATTACGAAAGAAAAATTCTTCATTTATTTAGATGATGAACCAACAGGACAATCATCTGTTTCTGTTAATGAAGTTCTTTTACAACAACTTGTTGATATGGGTTTTTCAATGGAAGGTTGTAAACGAGCATTAATCAATACGGGTAATAACGATGTTGAAGCAGCTATGAATTGGGTATTTGAACATCAATCAGATCCTGATTTTGATACACCATATCAGGCACCAAGTAAAAAAGCACGTGTTGAACAAATTCAAACACCACCTGTAAGTCATCTTCTCTTTCAAAAACAAACAGCTATCAGCACAATTCCTGCAGAACAATAATATGAAACACCATGTAGCTACTGTTACTAATCACAGGGATATTATTTTATTCTATCTATTTTGAGACACATTTTTTCAACGAGGAAAAAATATACTGTTGTACTTTTGAAGTACGAAGAAATATAGAAATTTTAACAGGAAGATAAGACAATTTTTGTTAGCTTACGATATTTATTAAAAAGTAAAAATAGAGAAAACCATCAGAAAATAAATAGCATCAAATGTTTCATTTTTGTTTACAAAAAGATAGGAATATGTGTCCCAAAAACTCTATTTTTGAAAAAGTTTTTCTATTTCGTATCAACAATCGATTATTTCGATTCATGTCGTATGTCACTTTTATATTACCATGAATGCACTGATATTGCTATTTTTCATGAATATGATTAGGTATTCAGCATATTTCTTTTATTTTTATCATAGTTGAAATAAGAACGAGTTCTCGTTCAACATATATTTTATTTATTTTTTGTTTTCTATTATAAGAAAGAAATAACGTGCCGTTTTTCTCTTTGAACATTCTAGGGAAAAGAAATAATAGTAAAAAGAGAACTGGTATTTTGTCTCCTACTATAAGTTCTGGTTTCATTGATGTTTTTTTTTAAATGAAAATCTATATTATAAAGAGAAATTGACTATATTTCTCTTTTATTTCTTGAGTAAAGAAATCCGCAAAACTATGTGTATGTCAAGAAGGATGAAGGAGTACGAAGAAGTATAATGAAGTACAAAGAAGTATGAAGAAGGTCTGAAGTATGCTTTTTCCCCTTTGTATTTGTTCACTCTCCTTCTGCTTAACACTCCAAAAATAGAATAAGGAAGTAATTTAATAATACATTATTGATATACGATGTGTGATGAAAGAAAGACGTTGCTAGGGATTTTTTCGCATCTGTGATGAGCACTTTCTAACGTGACTCGGACAGTCTGTGAAGAAAGCACAGTAAGCATTTTTCTATAGAAGAGGCGAACATATGACCTTTTCATTTAGAAAGACTTTATTCTGTGCTCGATATTGCTTTATTATCTCTCAAATATCAATATAATCTGAAAAAGTCAAACCCGAAACTTTCTTTTTATTAAAAAATCACTCTTAGATATCTTTACTCTATGTATATGTTGTGGGTACAATTAAAGATCAGGCAGATTCTAATTTTGCCTACAACATACATATATGCGGAAGATCTATGTTGAAAACAATGAGTTTTATCTAGGGAACGTTTAGCTCAACCATAGAAAGGTCGCGCTAACATTATATAGATGTTAGGATCTGAGGGATATTCTGTGAAAATGTCGTCTATTTTGGAGTTGTGAAAGATTGTGCAAGCCCATTATGCTGAACAAATGTTTTTGTAAAAAAGGCACTCGATATTAAAAAGGAAGGATGAGTTTTTGTCGAATCTCAATCAGATAAAAGCGAAAGTTCTTTTTTTTATGAATTGATAGAGTGAAAGATACAGTTTTGAAATTATATACGATTTTTTCATTTGTAACTTCTCTTTCTTGCCCAAAGCGAAAAAGACTCTTAATCCTTACTAGCGGCGTTTTTCGACTGATGTTTACAAGAGGGACAAACACTTTTATATAAATAAAAAACGTAGAAACCAGAGTAAATGTAGCTCTATGTTGGCTATTAAACAGTATACTTTCAATTTTTCACCTAATGTTCCACAGTGTAGGAGATGTTCGAATTTCTACTGTATATACTTCAAAACTCCTTTTAGCTCATATTTAACAAAAATGAAACCTTTTCTTTCTATTTAAACGTAATAGGTGGATGAAGAAAGTATCGGCATCGTTATGTCTATGGGCTTTTCACGTGCTCATGCTATGCGTGCATTATCATTGACAAATAATAATGTTGAAGCAGCTGTTGATTGGGCTCTTAATACACCTGAAGATAGTTCAACTTTAAATGCATTAGTTGAATCATTATCTCAATCATCATCTATCCAACAAACAAAACAAAATTATCGTGATGGTCCTGGTAAATATCGTCTTATGGCTTTTATTTCACATATTGGTAATCATCCATCATCGGGTCATTATGTGGCACATATTCTTAAAGATAATCGTTGGGTTATATTTAATGATGAAGTTGTTGCATTCTCTGAACATCCACCAAAAGATTTAGCTTATCTTTATTTATACAAACGTGAAACTGTTTGATTGAATATTCAAAATATAGACAGATACTCACTCTAGTTTCATTGTTTCTCTTTTTTTCATTTTTTTTTATTATTAGTCAAGGAAGAATATTGATTGTTTATTATCGTTAAAAACAACGATGCTACCATTCATGACATGAAACTGTGTTTTGGGTTTTTTTTTTTATTTTTTATTTTTTTTTCTTAGATGTATATTAATTACAAATTCTGATATTTAGTCTTTTTTAGTAAGTAATAGTAACAATCAATTAATTTAGTTGATTTTGCTTTGAATTCTTTTTTTTCAGTCGTTATCGGCTTTGCACAAACAGAAACATAAAAAATGTCAGCAAGCAGTGAGATGCAAATTCGTCGTACAGGAGTTTCTCGTCCTATTGGTCAAACAGGTTCATCATCAACTGGTACATCGGCATCATCAATGAGTAATGATAAACGAAAACAAGAATCCATTTTATATAGTGATGCAGCTGTTCGTTTTAATGAAAATAGTCTTGAACAATGTCGTACATCTGTTAGTGCATTATCCGGTTGTGTTGCTGGTATAATTGGTCTTACATCATATAAAGGTTTTCTTTTTTATGGTTTTTCAATGTTTCTTTTATCGGTACTTATATTTATGTTTATTCGAAATGAACATCGCAAGTTTTTTACTGGCTTAAATCATGTCTTTATTAATGGATTTTTAAATGGTCTACTTACTTATGTACTGTTTTGGACATTTCTCTATGGAATGGTTCATGTTTATTAAGAGTTTAAAGACAAAAAATAAATAATATCGATAGACTGTAATATCAAAAAAAAAGGGTTTCTTTTGTGTTGTTGTTTTTTTTTTCTATTAATGTATTGTTGTTGTTATTGTTCCATTTAACAAAAACCAAAAGATTAAAAGAATAAAGTTCATAATGGATGATTTCATTTAATATAGACTTTAGAAATAATGAAAACAAGTATGTTTATAAAAGAAAAAGATTTAAAACGAATATTTTCAGTTTTACAATACACTAACAAGTTCTACAAATGACAAAAAAACAATGAATATTTTATTAGATACATTTCAGATATGAAAGTCAAGCCAGCAATTTCAAACTTATCATCAAAACCGCTTATTTACACAAATAAAAGTTCCGTACAATGTTCACCTGAAACAAATGATTGTTATGCTATTGATCTTACTTTAAATAGTACTAGTAATCATATAGCTGTACTTACTATTCCAAGTACGATTCAATTATTTGATGCATCAACATTAAAACCTGTTTCATCTCTATCATCAACTACAAATAATTTTGATAATACTAATTCTTTATCTTCAATAAAAATTCATTCTATTCAATATGCTTATATTTCACCATATACCTTATTTGCTTCGACAAATAAAAATTTAGTTCTCATATGGGATACAAGAACACCACAATTAGAAACTATTCAATTAAATGGTTGTGGTGATACACATGAATTTCTATCAGTTGCATGTAATAATGAAGATCAATTAGTTGCTGCTGGTACTGAACTTAAAGGTGATGAGAATGTTGCTATTGCTTTTTGGGATATACGAGCACCAATAAATAAACAATTATTAGGATATTATACAGAATCTCATTCGGATGATATTATTCAAATTAAATTTTCTCGAATGAATTCAACAAAATTAATAAGTGGCTCAACAGATGGTCTTGTTTGTTTATATGATGTATCGAAATCGAATGAAGATGATGCACTTGAACAGGTATTTTCTTAAGGCGTCAATAACTCGAAATTTTGAGTGAAATTTTTTGAGCACTTTTTTTGCCATTATTGGATAGAGTTCGTTAAGTTACCCTATGAAAATGCTCTTGTTGACAAATTCAGACGATAAACAAAAACTAGGTTAAAAAAAACTGGCAAAACTTATAAAAATTAAAATATGTCATATACATCAAGTTGCAGTAGTCTCAATGTTTATTCGAATTTATTTATTTTTATTGTACTCACAATATAGTTAAATGTTCGTTTCTTTTGGAACTGAACGCTAATAGTCGATATCTTAGAATAGAAACAAGTATTTACATCGTTTTGCTATCCTATAACCAAATCTATTTTATCAACAATTTTTTGAGCGAAGCACGCTCATTTTTTTAAACTAATTTTTACTAAAAACCATCTGAATATGTCAAAACCAACATTTTCAAATGGTAAATCGACAAAATGTCATGCAACCATGACAAAAAATATTTTTGCTCAAATTTCAGTAACACTTTACGAAAAAAAAACGAATAATTAAGAAAGTTGTTTTCTCTAGGTTTACAATGCAAACGGACCTGTTGCAAAATGTGGTTTCGCGCAAGATAATACAGTATATGCAACAACAGCATCAAATGCTTTTTTTATTTGGTCAGTAACCGATGAAAATCAACAATTACTCGTACAAGGTGATACAGATAATGATTTGCTAGCATCCGAAGTTCATTCCGAAACGATGGATACATCATTGAAGCCTTCAACAGTTATTTATCATCTTTCTTCATCGCATGCAACTATTGTTGATATACTTTCCGAGTATAATATTAGAGACTTATTACCATCTGTTACACAAGAGACAAATTCGTATTGGCCATTATTAATGTGTGATCACATGGGGAAAATGAACATCACATTAGTCTCATCTAATGAGTCCCAACCCACTATTTTCTCACTTGATTCCCCTCATTCTGAGACATTACGCGCAGCAGTAACTTATCGTTCTACACTCTACTCATGTGGGGATGATGGACAATTGATTCAATGGCAACCATCATCATTAATGAATCATTCCAATGAGAATCAACAACAAACAAAGTCAAAGAAAAAGTCAAATAGTATAAAACCATACTAAATTATATTAAAAAAAATTGTTTGTTTGTTTTTTTGATTTTGTTATTGTCAACAATATAATAAACATATTGTTAAATTGAAATAAAAAGAACTTCAAAGGATATTGAATTATCCATGCCTATTATTACCATACTTAATGAAATTCTCTTGATGTTTAATTTAATTCTATTTTATTTCGTTCATTTCTAAAATTCTTTCTAAGAAAACATCTTATGTTACAACAAACTTTGTCTCACACACAAATACAATTAGTTTATGTTTATACGATAAAAAATTTAATTAAAGAAAAATTATTTCTAAAAAGAATCAATATATTGTGACTTGAATATACATGATTTCAGCGTATCCTTATCATTCATATATGTAAATGATAAAAACAAATCATTTTATCTAGTAGCGGAAGCAAAAAAGTATTTCTAGAATGAATCGAGCTTCACCCAAAGCTGAAACAAAGTATACTTTTCAATCTTAATGATTAATCGTTCTCAATGCTATGGAGCACTCAAAGGTTTCTATTCGAAATTCAGCTCCCGTGGTGGCAACATCCTTTTTTCTTTCAAATCAACGATATTAGTCTAATTGACAGAACACATCAAAGAGTGTTGGTAAGAACATCAAAGAGCGTGAGCGCCGCTAATCTGGTAAAAGTACCTCTTCACCAGTAAGTTTTCCAAGAGAAAAATTCTTAAAATATTTTTCGGTAATCTAATATCATTGAATGTGGTCAGCGATTAGCGTTTTTCACACATCTATGCTTTTTCTAACTATTAAGTATGATGCGCACCGCGATTCATTTCTTATTTGATGCGACTATCCAATTATATACATATATATATATAGGCAATGGTTTGTTGTTTTTCTATCGAACAACTATTATCGGCATTGCTTTGATCGTCTTCAAAGAAATAGACAGATTAAACAGATGATGTATATACGTTACAGAAATATGTATTTTTTTTTTTAAATTTTTCCCTTCTCCAGCTGGGAGTGTCATGAAACGATCGCGGCGATGTTTCGAATGGACGAGAAAAAAAATTGAATTGAACAGAAACGAAAAAGAGAAAAACAAAAAAAGTTAGATGTATAAACATCTAACAAAACAAGACAAGCTAACCTTTCCTTTTTTCATTCGTTTCTTTAAACAATCTGAATACAATTTGATCGTCTTTGTATTTGTCTTTGTGTGTGTGTCTAGATCAATTTCTACGTGCATTTGAAACATTCTCAAAAATAAAAACGAAAACATGTCTTTCAGCGATACGGAATGTTCGCATCGATCATCACTAGCAACTGTTCATCGTGTTCCAGCAAATAATAATTCACAATTATCACGAACAATATCTCTTCATGAAATTCTATCAAATCGTGAAACAGCCGATTTATTTGTTGAATATCTTGTAAGTTCATCACAAACAGCATCACTTGCTGCTGTTTATGCTATTGTACTTGGACTTAATGAAAATAAAGACGATTTAAATCAATTACATGATATTGGACGAGCTGCATACAAAATGTATATTGAAAATGACTCAGTTTTACCATGGTTACCAACACAACGACGGTTAGAATTACGCGATAATTATCGTCGTAAACAATTTAATGAACATTTTTTTGATGGTGTCTTAGATGATCTTCTTATTTATATTGAAAATCAAACAGATATATTTCGACAATTTCTTAATTCACGTATATGGAATGAATATCGACGTGGAAAATTTTCAAAAAATCATGCACAAATTAAATCAACGTCAACACTTGGAAATAATTCTAGTAGTTATCAAAATGAAAATGAACTTAAACGTTCACGTAAACTTCATTCATCATCATTATCATTACAAACAAAAACAAAATCACATCATCACAATCGAAGCACTCGAGTTGAATGTTCGTAAAAGAAACTGAATTTTAATTTTTATATTGTACTTCGTTCTTTTTTTGTTTTTAGCTGCATCAATAAAAAAAACTCGTGTAGCTTATTTTTTGCCTGGTAGTGATACACCATTTGTTATTCAAGTAGCTGTACCGCCTGAATCTATTACACTTAACGATGTTCTTCCACGTTTACATACATCATCAACAAATCAACGTAATAATATGAATACAAATAATGAATTTGATTATTTTGTTAAACATCGTGCTACAAATGAAAATTGGCTTGGTGGTGATACGCAATTTATTAATGAAAAAATTGAAGATTTCGATATTCCCCTACCAAATATTGATGGTACGGTGGTGATTAGAATACTTAATAATAATTAGACTATGTTATTTTGTTTATTTTTTTTCCTGTATTCTTATAAATGTATAATGACTCTTTTTGTTCTGTCTTTTTTTCTTGGTGTTCTTATGAATTGAGTGATGCGAGATATACTGATGATTCATAAATTCATACACAGTGCAGATGTATATGAGCGATGTTTTTGTTACAATAAATGGAAGATATGAATATTATTTTGATTTGTTTTTTGTAACATCAAAGAATAAACTAGACGAGAAAAATCAATCATGCAGAAACCATGAGACACTTTTATATGTCAGGTAGTTTTTTTCGATTGGTAAATTAAAGAAAAAAAATATCAGAAGACAATGTGCAAAGATGCGTATAATCACTAGTTTCGTTTTTTTTTGATAAAAATATTTGAATGTAAGTATTTAAGTAAGATATGTATTTGCAAAGCAAAAATAAAACGATCCTTGATTGTAATTTTTATTTTTATTTTTAAACTTTTAGTCTTATAGAAATAATCTTCTAATATTAAATTTAATCATGTAGAGAAAAATAGATTTTGACGAGGAGGTTTTTATTATTCGTCACATTACTAATTTCTTTTTTTCTTACTGGATGATGAATCATTGATATAACTGCACTTTTCCTATTCTTTATATAAAAACACACAAAAACTTGAGGCATCTTGCTTAGACGTGATTTCAATATGGGACCAAATTATTATTTAAAATATTTATAATACTATTAATAACTGCTAAACTAGTTCATATTCTATTAATTAACAAAATTCTTAATCTGACACATAAGATAAGTTTCTTTATATTCCCTTAGAAAATGACGACGAGTACTTCTTATTGAAATTAAAATGTATTTCATTATTTTAGATTATTTTTATTTTATTAAATTTTGATCATGGTTGTTCTTACTACAGATGTTATTGTTGCATTATCGGTTGTTGCTGCGGTTATAGTTCTTATTCTTTTGATTATTTTGGTAAAAAAATAAAGTGTCGTTAATTATTTATTTTTATTTAACTAATATTTAGATTGTTTGTCTTTGTCGGCAATGTGATCGATGTGCAAGATGGTCACGACAAAAAGCAGTGACAAGAGAGGAAACGGTCAGAGACAAGGAGTTTGCTGAAAGTCGACGTCAATTTGATGAAATTCGTCAACAACATAATGAAGTACGAGATCAACTTCGTGTGAAATACAATCTCAATGATGGTGATTCGAGAACTGTTATTGTTTCATAGTCATTCGCTTTTGCTTTTTTTCTTTAAATTATATTATTGATATTTGTATCAATAATCTTTAATGTGACGATGGATGTGCTAAATTGTGCCTTTTCATGCATACAATTCCATGAAAATAAATGTCAATATTTGATCGATGTCTATCTCACTTGAGAGCCGAGTGTCTGTCTAGTCTAACACCGATAGCAACTTTTAAAATTGACACAGATGAAACGAGTATTGTCCGTATTGTCTCACGCGACAAATGTCTCCATTCCATATTACTTATGAGAGTCGAATTAAAATACATTTTTTCTCTCTCTCTCCCTTTCTATTTGGACCTCTCTCATTTCTTTCTATGTGTGTAAAAGTTCAACTGCCCTATTCGCGTCAGTGGTCTATTCTGTTACTACTACTGCTGCTTGATTAACACAGTGGGTGTACGTACTGTATTGAGTGACAAAGAAATGAGGTCAAGTTGAATGCAAGGTCTCTGCCCACGGTGGACGACAAGAAACGAATTAATACTTGATATCATACAACATTACTATTCTATTCATTCGATATATACGCTCGCATATATACACGTCCACATTTGTATATATAAACATGTTAACGATATATCTTCGGAATCATTCAAGTAAGACCATCATCTGAACGGCTGGGAGAAATTATTGCAAGGCTTTAGCTGATAAGAATAAACATTCTTTACATCATAGTTATTCTTATCTTTTTATCTTATCATTATGACGTATTAGTTGTGAATGTGAAGATGAAAATAGTTTCTCATTGAGTTTTTGTGAAGATTGTCAAAAAAAAAAAAACAAAGTGTTAATCTTTCGACTAATAATATAAAAGAGGAATACATTTGTTGCCTCAGACATACTAATAGTAATGACCAAATAATTTTTATTTCCCAATTGTTTGCTGTAGAACAATTTATATTCGTTCTGTCTCTTTCGAGAATTTTCTTTTCTGAAATAACATTATTGAGCAATGAGAAAGCTGAGACGAGAAAGAAAAAGAATGATGATTGAACAACACTATTCGCCGTTATTCTCATCATCATTTTTGACAGACGAGCCAAGAAGAAACTCGTACTATAGTAGGAAAGACGTGTTGGCGGACACTCGACCCAACTCTAGTGTAAAAGAAGAAAAGAAAAAAAAATAAGGAAAAAACTGGTCGAGATAGTTTCTCTGCGAGCAACATAGAAGACTAAGAAACAAGCGACGATAAAAAAGAAAAGAGAACAAACAACGGGTCGTCTCTAGATTAAATCAGGCAGCTAAGGCGTTACAGACGTGTTACCAGTGCCCGAAATCGAGAAAAGAGAGGAAAAAAAAAGAAGACGATGTAGAAGAAAAAATATAGACGTCGATGCCTTTTCTTTCTCGTTTTCCCTTTTTTTTTCCTTTTGCCCTTACTTTCTGTTATTGTGCATGACGAGTGTAACATACACAACCCAAATTCTTCATCATACTATCATTATTTGCTACTCGAAGAAGTAACCAACAAAGATAAATCCACACATTTATCTATAAAGGCAGCAGATATTTTCTAGTTTTCTACTTAATTATTTTCTTTGTGCGTAATCGAAGACAAAATAAAACAAGGTGCAACGCATACGCGTTATGTTATTCGGATTGGTCAGCAAACAACAATCAGTAAGTTCCTTCTTTTGCCTTTTTTTTCTTCTTCTTCTATTTAAACAAATGCACTCTGTTGTGTAATCTGACAGTATCAGGTGCTTAGTATATTGATAGCTTTTGCCTTTTTTTTCTCTTTCTTAATTATCATACTCGTAATAAAAAATAAATGCAGGTGAGTCCCATCATCGGACATACTCTTCATAGACATTTCATTATTGAATAAGGCAGCTGTTCACTTTTGTGTCCATTAAGATTTGTCAATTAAAATAAGAAAGTTTAACCCAAGGAGCGTAAATACTTTCGAGACGAGACCTTTCTAATAAATATGCTTCTAAATGAAGGTCTTCTAATCATAGGTCTGGAAAAAAAAGAGGCCTAGAATAAGAAGGCTTGAAATTGTTCTCTTAATGATAACGTATATACATGTAACACGCATCAAAAAAGAGAAAGAAAAAAAAAGAAAGGCAAGGAGTAAAAGTATATGAGTGGAAAATGTTGGAGGCCGTTCATCTCTTCATACACATGGTAGCTCTTTGACTCTTGCAAAAAGGAAAGAAAAGTAAAAGTATCGGAATAAGATATGAATATAGTATGAGCGTTCGAATGTTCGTACGCTCTTGAGTAAGCGAACATGATTTATCTATCATACGAAAGCATATGTATGTATGATGAGGGTTACGATGATACAGTATGGCGATGGTTAATGTGAAAGAGAAGTAATACCAAAAGAAAAAAGATTGAACACTATGTGTTTATATCATATCATTTTATGCATATAAAAATGAAGGTATATATTATGAAATTGATCTGAATATTTTGTTCACGTGTGAAGTTTTATATCTAGAAAAATCAATTTAATCTTGTTCTTCTATCAGTGTTGAAGTGGTATAACTAAAAAAATAGGAAAATTAGTTTCTTTTTCTCTTAGATTTCTTTCCTTTTTTTTTTTGTTTTCATGATTATTCTATATTAGTAGTAATGTATTTCAAGATTAGACCGTGACAATCAGATCTATCTATATAAAGAATGAAAACATTAAAATAGTCATTTGAGAAAACATCTGCATGTTTAGCATTAATTCTTATTGTATTCAGACCGGCCTTTCTTCTTCTCTATCATTTGCTACAGAGAAGAACTATAATGGCACTATCGAAGCCTTGCATGCTTGTCTTTACTTCCTATCATCACTTGTGTATGCGACCTTTACATATCTATCTTTATTGATGAGAAAAGAACGAAGTCAAATCATACATACCATATATAATCCTAACATATAGTAAGTTCTTTTTATTTCTTACTGTATAACAATAAATGAAGATTGTCAGATTCTTGATTTTAATCAATGAAGTATAGAAGATGAGTACTAATGTATTTTTTTCGCATGTATATATGAGTGCTGTTTTAATTTTTCTCTCATCATTTTCTCATTGTAAATCATATACTACCTATTCTTCTTATTGTCCCTCTTTTTTTGCGCCTTTCTTCTCTTGTTTACAGTCGTACTATTAGCTTCCCTAATAGGATACATTATTCTCGATAATGATGATTTCTTTCTTCTCTTGTCGAGACAGCTTGAAAAAAAACAGCACATACTATTACCATCTCATCATCATCAATAAAATTTTCATTCTCTTTCGTTTATCAATTTTTTTTTTTTTTTATTTCGAATGGTAGTTGGCAAGCTTATCATCATTAACGCACAGAGTGTGAGAAGAAAAGAAACTCGACAAGAAAGAAAAGATGTATGTCTAGTGTCTGTCTTTCGTTTTATTCATTTGTCCGACGAATGTATAAGTAATATCAATCAGTTATAGTATATTGCTGAGGTCAACGATGAGGTAGCAATACAATCATGTTTATTCATCGATAAATCGAATTTCTTAATTTTTTCTTTCTTTTTTCTCTCTCTTTCGGTTTCTCAGTTGGTTCTATGCTCAATCAGAATTGTGGAACAACATTAGTTTCTCAATTACTCGATTCAATTGATGGTCATTTAAAAAACGTTCATTCACCAATGGAGCAACGATTACAAGATCAACAATCACCAGAATATGAAATGTCTGTTGATAATCCAGATGATGATGAACTTTGGCTTAGTGGTCATCGATCAATATTTTCATCATATGGAAGTTATTGTCGTAAAACAGCACCACAAATTCGTGATAGTCAATATGAAGGTTTTCATTGGGATTTATATGAAGATCGTAATTATCATCATCTTGCATTTGAACAAGATCAACATGATACTCCACCAACATGTCAAGCAACAAGTCTTTCAGAATGGTCGATGCGTTTAAGTTCAGGTATTAATGGTGGTGAAGGTGATACAGAAGATGATGCCGATGTTGAAGGTGATGATACAACATCATCATCAGATCCTCCACGTACATCATGGCATGCTATAAAATCTAAATCTATTCATCGAAGTAGTTCATCATCTGCAAATACATCTGATGGTAGTGAACATCGATCACGTAGTCCATTAACATTATATCGTTTATTTCAACGTACAAGATCTCAACAACATCCATGTCGTTTATATCAAAATTTTAGTGATAAAAGTATGTGTGATTCATTAACATCATCATCATCATGTTCAAATATAAATAAATTAAATGAAACAAATAAAAAAGAACATAAAATACCAATGCCAAGATTTAAATTATTAAGTCCCACAACATTTTCACAATTAAAATTAAATAAATCAAATAGTCATAATGATTTTCTTTCATCAACAGAACAGTTATCAACGGAAAGTAAAGAAGAAATCAAGGGTAAGTTTTATATGAAATTTGATAGTTAGAAAATGAAAGATCAAATGATTATTTATCATGAAATCTTTTTTTTTCTAAAGTGAACAAACATCATCTTTATTGTCTATTAGAGACATTGAATTGATCATTATCTGATCGGTTTCCTTTTTCTTTTTCTTTTGACTTTAGCTTCTAATCAAGCCGTTATACCTCGTCGTAGTGTTGATCAATGTCTTCAAACATCTATACATATTGACAATACTCCTTTATGTCAACCATCATCAACACGTCGTTATATCCCACGTTCGACTTCTCGTCCTCTAAATACAGACAATCATTATTTACAAACAGACAATATATCAGTTACTCGTTCGAAAAGTGTTGATCGTTCATTGAATAATGATATTAAAAACTCAAATTCAAATAATCCTAGTCGACCATCAACATCACATCGATCATTACCAACAATATCATCTTTACCAGATCTTAGTTTTCTTACATATTATGCGAAAGAAAATCCAGCTCCACCACAACTTCCATCATCAACATCGACAAATCAAACAAAACATTATTGTTCACGAATGAAAAGCACATTATCGGAACCATCATCATTAACAAAAAAAGCCACACGTACTGTATTTTATTGTAGTATTAAAGTACCATCTGCATCATCATCGTCATCTATTTCTATGCGACCTAAAACACTTCATCCACCTATATCAACAATACAAAGACCACGAACACTTAAAGAAATTAAACGTATTAAAAGTATTAAAACAAGCCCAACAATGATGGGTAATAGTCCACTTCGCGCCTTACCACTTAGCCCATCTGTTCCATCAAATGTTGATAATCATATAAAAGAAGAAGAAGAACATGCAACATTTTCATTAACATGTTCAAGCACATCAACAAGTGCAAATAGTACATCAAGTAGTGGCTATTTTAGTAATAGTTCAACTAATCATCCACGTCATATTCAAACACCTATATCATCATATCCACTTAAATCATGTTTAAAACGTGCTAAAACTGAAGATTTAACAACTACACCATTAACACTAGCTCCAACAACAACAACAGCCAATGTTCTTGCTGTTGGAGCTGCTGGTGATATATTTACATTAGCTGCACGAACATTAGCTGCTCGACTCGGTGATAATACTATAGAAACATCACGTCATCGACGCTATTCTGCACCAACTATATCTTCACATCAACAAAATTTTTCTATACAATTACAAACACGACAAAAAGGGTGTACATTATCTGAACATGATCTTCGTGCTAAAAAAAGTGTTAGCTTTTGTGATGACATTGCACGAAGACTTATTACACCATCAGCTAGTCCTAAACATCGGCCAACACCACCACCTATGATACCACTTAGATATGATCGAGGTATTGATTATAAATTAATTATAAAAATGAATATTGTTTTTTAACTTTTTTTTTTAAAGATTATTGTGATTTAGTACCACGAGAAAGTCTAACAGATAGTCCGCCGAGTGAATTTAATTTATCGGATGATGAACATGAGGATCATAGTGAACCACATTTAATAAATTTTACTGAAAATGCACCATCAGAAATAACAAAACCATTGCCGGTTAAATATGGTAGTGATAAATATCTTGTTGATGCTTTTGCAAATACAGTTCTTCATATTTTGGAAATAAAATGTGGTGATCCTCAAGTATAATATAATTCTTTTTCTTCTTTTTTTTTTATAATTTTTTTTCTTAATTTTGTTTTAGTCTTATTATTTAAATAATATAACTAATCGTGAACTCGATCGAACACTTCGTCAAGATTTATGTCCTTTATTACGTGAAGTACTTGAAGATGGTCTTCGACAATATAGTGGTTCATTATTTTCAAAAAAAATTAATTTATGGCGTTTAATTGATTTTACAACACCTAAAACTGGTCGTTTTAATGATGCTAAAGCTAAAGCACAATTAGGATTATCTTCTACAGTTGACTGGATTGAAAAATTTAATGCATTTATTTACCATTTACTCAAGTAAGAATATGAAATCTTTTTTAACAAGCATTTTTTTTTGTTTCTTTTAGTCTTCATGAACTTGCTGCATGGTTAACACATTTTTTATCTCATCGTTCGATATTTACAGCATATTATGAATCATGGGCATTTATACTTGTACATATAGATAATGATCTATTTGAACGTATTACAAATCAATTAGAAAAATTATCACCGTTACCATTCCGACTTAAATATTCTCATTCATCAAATGTTAATCCCTCAACAAAAACAACAACAACGGCAACAACAACAACAAATCAACGTCCTTCTTCATTATTACCAAAACGATTTAATGTTCGAGCTTGGTTACGTGATCGTAAAACTCAAGTAAAAATTTCACCAAAAGAACCATCGGCTACTCCTCCTTCATCATCATTAATGAGCAAATCACCTTCATCTTCTACTATTCCACCAACAAAATCAGTATCAACTGTATCAACAAAACCATCACCAACAGTACCGTCAGTACCGCCACCAGCACCACCACCAAATGTTTCCCTACGACGTAAACTCGGCTCAATTCCAGTACCTAAACGACATCAAACAGTGCACTAAACAATTTCGTTATATACACATATATATATATCTATGTTAATTTATAATTGCATTCAAAATGCTGATATATTGTCGTATATTCTCAGTGTTTGTTTTTATTGTTTCTGTTTTTCTCATTTTTGTCAAGTAATTTTTTTTAAGTGTTTGTCTGTGTGTTTATGTTTTCAAACGATTCACAGTATTTCTATCTTTATTTACCCTAATTTACCTTTCCTTCAATCAGTTTCATGAACTGCTAATTCAGTTTTCATTTTTCTTTTCTTCTATGTTCAAATGGTAAGAAAATCAAAATAAATACGTTCGTATAGTCACCTGATTTTTAGAAGATTTGATTTTTTTTTTCTAAGTTAAAAAAAAAACTCAAAAGAAGCAGTAAAATTATTCACAAAGGTCTTCATGTCTAATAAAACAATGTTGTTAGCATATTTCTCATTTGTAATCGTCGAATATTATTATTGAGAACACAATTCAAAGTAACAAATAGAAGAAGTCGAAGGTTGTAGGTGTTATTAGTATTATTAACAATGCCTACTGTTGATCCAAAACCACGTCATCGACCATTTCGTCGAGTACTTTATCGTGAAGATTCAAAAGACTCAACGTTCACACAAGATGTATCACCACGAAGTGATGGATATTTGTTAACAAAATTAAACAAAAAACATAATCGTCAAATCATAGAAAATAATCATAAAATGCTAATGACAAATGGTAGTAGACGATTATTAATGAAAGAAGGTATTCTTTATAAGAAACCTGCTGAAAGTATTAAATATGTTAAACGTATTCGAAATGATCCAATGGCACGTTATTTATTTGTTATGCAACAATATTTTACTCCAAATATGAGCGCTCTTTCTCATTATGAAAATCAAAATATATCGTAAGTAAACAAAATATTTTATGAAATAGTGTAATAAAATTTTAATAATGAGAACAAGACAATTAGTTACCAGTATTCTTTTTCTTCATTAATATCATGGAAATTTTGAAGATTGAATTCATAGGAAAAAGTGTAAAATATCATTTTTTTAAAAGAAAATTTTGCCTATTAGACTTGAGAATTTTTATCGATTATTTAATTTGTTTGTTTGCAATGAGAATGAATTTCTAGAGAAACAAGAATTTATTATTGCTTAGTTGTATAATCATATAAATATATTGAATAGGGAAATAGAGCATGGCTTGGTGGTCTAGTGGTATGATTCTCGCTTAGGGTGCGAGAGGTCCCGGGTTCAATCCCCGGCCAAGCCCGGTTGTTAACTTTTTCTTTGTTGTTTTTTTTTGTCCTAGACGAATATGTTTTTTATTGTTTGACATATATTCATATTCCTCTTTTGATCTATAAGTATGCGTAAGGTGAGAATAAGTTTATTTGTTAATAATCAATAACAAGAAGATGTTTAGATGAAGAGTTTTTTTTTGAAAAGAATACTAATATTCCTATTTCTCGTTTCTTTTTTCTGCTTGATTCGTTCGTTCTTTATCGATTTCTTTCTTTCTTCTTTTTTATTATTATTATTAAGTAAGTTCTGTGAACAAAAGTAAAAATGCTGAAAATGAAAAGAATGAAAGAGAAAGAACGTTGTTTTAATATTTCTTCTCTGTGGAATCAAATATAAATATATATATATATACATATATATATATTTGTTATGGCAGCAGTAAAAAAAAAGAAACACACGCACATACACATGGTGATCGAATGAAACTATAGAGAATATTAAAGATAAAATGCCGATTTCACCTAAACGAACTCGTAGTCAACAGACAGCTTATCATCATCAACAACAGCAACACCAAGAATCAGTACCACAAGACAATGAATATGATAACTATGTTTATTATCCATATTATTCTAAAACAATGCCTAATAATGGTTATGAATATGTACAAGAACCGGATCAATATGAAGACCAACGAGCACAATCAAATCAAACATATACAAAGAATAAATCAGCTTCAGTCCGTCGAGCGTGAGTAGAATAATGGTTGTTTTAAGAAAACAATTCCTACTACCATCTTACAAGAAAAATGAAACCCGACAAAAGAAAGAGTACAGTCTCGATACATAATGAGTCCTTCATTGTATGATTTTTTAGCACTTTTGTTGATTTGATTTTTTTGCGTTGTTTGTGGTGATAGTGAAAAGGTGCAGAGATTTTTTTTCATTGTTTTACTTGAATTATGTCATTCTTTTGATTTTTTTTGAAGAGATTCAATCGATTAAGCAAGCGAAATCTTATAATGAAATGATAAGAAAGGAATATATCGATCATTAACTATGATACGTAATAGGGAAGTCTATATTTTAAAATAATAACAAATGTACTCGTACACGCAATCATTGCGAAAATGACATTAATTGTTAGTGTTAAACATAGAGATTGATTACAATGAGTCTCAACAATTTATTTTAAATCTTTATTTAGTTCAACATATTCATTATAGACGTTGTCAATTTGTGAAACCTGTTGTTGCTTAATCATCACGTTATTATTACACGACAATCTTTCAAAAAAAACAAGGGTTTGATTAGAAAACAAGTTTTTAAAGTATTCTATAATCTACAATTGATAGAAGTATTTCATATCTTTGTTGAATCGAATATAATTAGTTGAGACTAGAAAATAGTTCACATTTTGAGAAACTGGTCGCATTGCTTTTGATTCGTTATTCAAAGAGAGAGACATGCGACTTTAAAAACAATTTATCGATCGTACAAATCATAAATAATTTCTTTTTTATATCATGAATAAGAGTTTATCTGTCGCCATTTTTTTCCGACGAGAAAAAGCTTACGCATTTGCTATAGCTTAAGTATCGAGAAAGCAAACAATTTGTAAAATCATATACTAGAAAATAAAATTTATTTTATATGCGTAGAATATAGTATGCCAAAAAAAAAATATTTATGTCATAACACTGATCAATCATTATAATGAATAATCGATTTCGATTCAATCGGGTTTAAGAGTGCGTGTCAATTAAGTCTCAATTAATTTTTCGAGAAAAATAAGAAGAAATTAATTATTGTTATTGTATTTTTCTTTTTTTTCCTACTTGTTTCATAGAAAAAAAAAACATAAGTATTAGAAAATACTTCTTCTTTTTCATTGTAAATCATTTCCCGTTGATATAAGAGAAGTAGAAAATGTCCAAGGCATCAGTTGAAACATATTCTTTAATTGAACTCCCATCAATTTCAACATCTTTGGATACAAATCATCGACAAATGCCGATGAATAATGATGATCAAAGAACAAAAATTACTGAATCATATACACCTGAACATGGTTCACCAAATCGTAACTCACCTGCTCGTGTTCGTTTTCTTGAACCTGGTTATGCTAATAATACAACACCAAAAAGTCCAAAGTCAATTAAAAATGTTCCATCATTTGAAAGTTTTGAAGCATCTTCTATAGATAATATCAACGATCTTCATCATGATGGGCCTAATTCTGTTAGTCGTGGACTTCAAACAGATATTAGTAATGCATCAGTGATTGACTGGGTGTTAGGACAAAAAAGTTCATCGACTGGCGATAGGTATATTAAGACTTGATTTATCAGTGATATTATGCTTAAGTACACATAAGTCAAGTGTCTTCTTATAATGTTGGTGGTGGGTATGCATAAACATAATAAGAAAAGAGAAGAAGACTTACCTTACGAATAGTTAGAAAGTTGTATGTGATGATGAAAGACAGTAAGTCAAAGAAAAGAACAGAGAGAGAGAATAGGAGAATGGTTCTAGTTTCGCGACTGCAGTTTTACTGTTTCATAAGTCAATAGACACTTACGAATCGTTATCGTTAGAGAAGAGAAACAAAAAGAATAGCTGTTGAAAAAAAGAAAAGTGACCAGTTCAGATTATAATCGATTGCTATCATATTGAATAGGATTATTTTATCATGGCAACTTTTGCTATACGTTCACATAGTTTAATAAATGGTGAAAAGTATTCAGTAATATCGAAACATCGAAATTATTAGTAAAAAAAATGACTTATTTATTGATATTAATTTTATTTCTTACTATTTTAGTGTCTTTCGAAATGAACAAGCTCAAGATCTCAGTACAGAAAGAGATCGTGTGCGTGTTATTGTTCGGTATGGAATTAAAAACTTAATTATTGTTTACTTACATTTATATTTATGTTCTATAATTAGTATTCGACCAGTAAATAATCGTGAAATGGACAAAAATGATCGATCAATATTAAATTGCGAAGGTGAAAATTCTATTTTAGTAAGTTCTTTTTATCCTTATTTATTTTAATATTTATAAAAATGAATTAAACAGGTCGAAGGTACACAACATAGTCGGCGATTTACATTCGATACTGTTTTTGATGTATCATCAACACAAGAAGAAGTATTTCATTATAGTGGTATCAAGCGTTTAGTTGATATGGCTATCGAAGGGTATATAATTGAAATATTTAATTACCAAAAATAAAGATTATTTCTATGAAAAATATTTTTTATAGATATATTTCAACTTGTTTTGCGTACGGTCAAACTGGTAGTGGCAAAACACATACAATGATCGGTCCCGGAGGAGCTGGCATTGTATTTATCTATATTTTTCTCAAAAAAAAATTTTGATAGGTTTTTTTAAATAGTTTCGTATGGATGAAAATTATCGTATAAAAAATTTTGGTTTAGTTCCACGAGCAATTAATTATTTATTTCAACGATTACGAGAAAAAGCTCAAGAAACAAATACTCCTTATTTTATCCGTGTATCCTATTGTGAAATCTATAATGAACAAGTATGAAAAAAAATATATATGATTTGATATTCTTAATTAAATTAATCTCTATTAGATTCACGATTTAATTAATCCGTCACATACAGAAAGTTTACAACTACGTGGTTCAATTGAAGATGGATTTTATGTTGAAAATCTTTTTCAAACATATATTGAAACTATGGATGAATTATTAACAATACTTGAAGAAGGTTTGAGTGAAATTAAAATTTTTTATAGCATGATCATTACGGAAAAATAATTTAGGTGAATTAAATCGAGCTATGGCTTCACATAATCTTAATGATACCTCAAGTCGTAGTCATGCAATGCTTTCAATTCAAGTTGAGCAAGATTTACAAGATACTGATGATCCAAAAGAACAAAGGACTCGACAAGGAAAATTAGTTTTTGTCGATTTAGCTGGTAAATATTTTTCAATTTTCTTTTTTTTTTATATTTATTCACAAGCAAAAGAATCATTCTGTTTTATTTTTTTCAGGAAGTGAAAAAGTCAAAGTAAGCCTTTCAAAAGGTAAACAACTAACCGAAACCAATAATATCAATAAAAGTTTACTTACACTTGGTAAACAGACTTTTTAAAATCGTCAATTCTTTCGATTATTAGTTTTTCATTATTACGAAAAGGTACATGTATTTCGGCATTAAGTGATCCTGTTAAACGTGCTGGTCATATTCCATATCGTGATTCAAAATTAACACGTCTATTAGTAGATAGTTTAGGTGGACATGGAATAACTTTAATGGTTTGTATAATTCATACAAAATAATTTCAAATCGAAACAAAAAAAAAAAACAACATTTGATTTTCTTGTTTTTCTATTGAAGATTGCATGTATATCTCCTGCAAGTTCATGCGAAAATGAAAGTTTAAGTACATTACGTTATGCTAATCGTGCAAAAAATATTGAAAATGCTCCTATAATAAAAACAGACTCAAAAGAAAATGTTATCAATCGTTTAAAACGTGAAGTACGAAAATTAAAAGATGAAAATCATGAATTAAAACAAAAATTAGGCATTCAAGCAAACGCATTGCCTAAAATTAAAAATCGTAGTTCAGAGTCCGGTTCACTTACATCAATGCGTTCATCAGCAAGTATCGATCCATATGATTCTCGTCAAGATAATCAGTAAGCATATTGTTGTTTTTGTTTTTCAATTTTGTTTTTATTATTTGTCAGAGGTCGATTAAGTGGTACAACAACAAAAAAAATTCGAACCGATCATGAAATATTAACACGAGAAAATGAAAAACTTGTTAGAAAACTTGATCAAGTTATGAGAGAACAACAAACACAACCCGGTGATAAACATGTTATTGTTGTTGAAGAAGATCCTTCAGGGCAAGAAGTAAAATATCTTTTTTTTTATATTAAAATTAACTATCTCATAATTGGATTTTTTCAAAGTTAAATTCATCGTATGGTCGTCGAACGAATAAAAATTATTCTCAAGAAACCAATGGAGAAATGTTTGTATAAAAAGAAAACTTATTTTCTTTTTTTTTGAAAATTTCAATTTTTTTTATTAAAATACAGATCAGAACTTGTACGCCATCCATCTTATGCATCAAGATATCGATCTACTCGTGAGAGATATCCCGATGATACTTCACCTCAACGACGTACAGCAACGATTGTACGACGTGTACCAGATACAGCTGTAGTAGAAGGTAAATATCGACAAAATTAATTACGATTATTAACTTTTTCTTTCATATTTTTAGTTCGACGATAATTTTTTCTGATCTATAAAAAATGAACATAAATAAAGAGTATAAGTCAACTTTTTTCTGTCGTGTGTATTGATTTTTGTTCTTCTTCTTCTTTGTCTCTCTCTTGACTCTTTTTACTTATATGTATAATAAAGAAGCAATGAAATTAAATTTTCCAAAAACAACTGAATTCATACAAAAAAGTTAAATGAAATAGAAATATCAATATACTATCAAAATGATTTAAACAGATGAAGAAATTAATATTATTTCCTTGGTTTTTTTTCGTCGAATTTTTATTTATGGTCAAATGAAATTGTAAATTAGATCGGTGACCTTTGTTTCTTCGATAGGGATAATCACGTAATATCACCATTGTTTTCATTCTTCTCATAAATGTTTGCCCTTTTAAAAAAACACGTTTTGCCATTATAAATAACAATCAGTCTTTTAATCGAATAAATTCATATGGATGCCAAAACTAATAGATCACTATATATATATATATGAGATTAATGAATGGAATTTTTCACACTTATCAATCAAAAGATATATATACATTCACCTGTTTACTACTGATCATATTAACAACAACAAAATCATGATAGACTACTGTCAATCAGATTGAAAAATCTTATCAGAAGAAACTCAAAATGTATTAACAATTGTTTTCTTAATGAGTAGAGAAACAAAATCGATTATTTCGATAAAGATTATGATTACTGTAAAACAGTATATTTTTTTCTTGCTTTGTGACACTTCTTGGACAATGATTATAAAACAGTGCATGTATATATATATATATATGTATGCACGTGTTTAAATTCAGAAAGACGTTTTACGTCAAAACAATAGACATCTATATCAATGTCTGCTAGCTAGAACACAAGATAAAATAATAAATATTTTCGTTATTTGACGTATTATATATTTTACACTCTAAAGGAAAAAACACACGAACACACAAATTTTGTCAAAAAAAAAAGAAAAGAAACTGTCTTTTGTTTTTTTTTTTATGAAGCTTGTGGTGTCAATGGTAAACCATAAGACGATGGATAATATGGTGTCGTAACAGCAAAATTACTTGTTTGTGTATAAGGAAATGTATTAAAAATTGATGTATAATTATTTGTAGCATTGTTAATAGTCGCATTTGGATGATGATGATGATGTTGATGATGATAATGATGAGTATGTGTAAATGCACTTGATATATCTCCATTTGTTGTTGAATTTGGTACAATATGACTTGCTCCTGTATATGGTGATTTCATAGCCGATTCAAATTGATGTTGAAATGGTGAATGATAAGCAACATTTGGATAAAGATAACGATGATGATATGGTGATGTTGTCGATTGATCATATGATGACCATGTTGGTGGTTCAATTTTACATATTGATTCTGATGATGATGAAACAACTGAAGGGATATTAACTGGTGAATGATCACATTTATTCATTAATGTTGTTGATGATGGAATTAGTGGAGGTGAATTTGAATCACTATGTTCACTACTTCCACCACCTCCACTTCCACTTGCACTACTTCCATTATTTGGTTGTGATAATGGACCAATTTTATTTCGTAAAATACGTGATATTGATGATACTGATGGAACATTAAATTTATCGCATACATTATCTAATAATAATTTTTCTCGTATTTCCCATGCAAACATTCCGGGATCTTTAACTTTATAATCACGTATACGACCAACAACACGTGGTGTTGTCACACGTGGTTTACTTCCACCAATAGCACCTGGTAATACAGAACCTCCAACAAAACGAAATAACAAGCAAAAAATATTTTTTTGTTTAGATTAAAATAAAAACTTACCTGTTTCATGGTAACGAGCAAGAATTTTACTAACACATCCATGTGAGACTTTTAATCGACGACTTATATCACATGGACGTACTCCTAAATTAGCCATTTCAACAATACGCAAACGAATAGGCGTTGGTAATGGTCGACCGTTGACAAATACACCACCAAGTTGATTAACTTCTCCATAACTTTGACTTGAACTACTATCATTAAATGAATAATCAACTGCAAAAGAAAAAACAAAAACAAAAAAATCTTTTTCATATTGGGACATGAACTTATTAAAATTTTCATCATTTTCTTTCTCTATTTTACTATTCATGCTTTATCTTCAACAATATAAAAATTCTCCGGAAGCACGTAGTTGTCATCATCATCGATCACATACGCAGTAGGAGCATCTCATTTTGCAAAGTGAATGTATCCGAAATGAATCGAAGATGATGATTATCATTTAGCAAGATTGTGTTTATGTATATAGATATACACAATGAATTTTGATCATCGATCATCTCTTATTTTCTAGTCTAATGAGATGATGACAATGTTTTCTTCGGATCGTATTTGGATTGGTTAAACTAACATATTTATTTAAATAAAACAGCATATAATAACTTACAGTCAAAATATTTTTCTTTATTGTCATTAAAGATATTCTAATAAAACAAAAGAGATCTAACGATTAACACATCAGAATGTCAACTGACCTAGAAACAAATGTTTCTGTCTATTTAGTAACATTTCATATTGATGAAAGAAATAGAAAAACTCAACTGATATCGTCATCGTACTTGTCAAATATGATTTTTGTTCTCTTGATAAAATAATAGTTGAAATCTAGATTGACAAATAGAATAGACCTCTCTTTTTTTGCTACTATTCTTTGTCTCTTTTTTTTTTCTTCTTGTTCTCTTAGTGGACATTTGCAAACAAACAAAAAACAAAACAAAACTAAGTAAGCATAGATATAAATGTTCTAGTGTGTCACTGAAGCAATATATATACGAAAAAAAAACTTGATGAAACATTTTCGCTATCTCACACATACAATCGTCATTCATCTGTAGACAATTTACATACCCATTGCAATCGTTGTATGCTAGTTGATGTAGACAGGGCAGGTAGGTTGATCTACTTTGGCTATGCTCGATGTCCCGTGCTTGTGTGTTGGTTCGATTAGTTCACGGTTCGATTCGGTTTTTCCGTTGCACTTGGTTTCACTCGAATTCACCTTAGTACCGCTCGCTTTCAATTATATTTGCAGCGTAGCTTTTTTTTTCTATCATTCGAGCTATCGATCTCTCTCTTTCTCACTCTCTTCTCTCTTTTAGCTTGTATCTTTTTTAGGTTTGCATTAACACTTTTTTCTCTTTTTTCCCCGTCTCTCTCTCTCTCTCTCTCTCTCTCTTCGTTCTATTTCTTTTGCTGGCTATCGAGTATCAACCATTTAGAGTTTTAGTTCTCTTACATGACAGATAAACGATTCTTTTTCTCTCTTCTATTACTGTTGGCTTTTTCTTTTTCTTGTCCGATGATAGAGCTTATCATGAAGAGGAAAAAAAAAGAGATGAGCTGTTCGTAGATATATTTTGACCAATAAGCATTCAAATGAGAAGGAAGAAAGGAGCAATCAATGAACAGAAGGAACGAATGAAAAGATTGAGTCGAAAAAAAAGAGAGAATATAATAAATTTATTTATTGATACTCTGATCTTTCTATTTGTGGGATGGTATTATTAAAAATGCATAGATAGAAATAACGAAAATCAATCAGAAAAAACAAACAAACTCTAAAAACCCTATTTCTTGATGGCATTTCGAATAAATGCATATGAGAATGAACTATAGTTGACATAATGGTAGATCTAAGATTTCGATAAATGGAGACGATGATAATTATAAAGCGTGTTTTCAACTCAAATTAGAGATTGTATCAATTCATTTATGAACATTTTCTGCTGAGAAAAACGGGAAAAACAGTTCAAAAGGAAGGAGTGATTACCTTCAGTGTCTCCATCACTCATAGTTGAGTGTAGAACCGATTGAAAACCCTTTAAGTGCAATACAGAAATCATCTTATGATTTTATTATTTACTGATTGATTTCAAAATTGTTTATTTGCTGTATGAATAAGTATAAAAAGAAAACCATTCAAACTAAATTCATGATTGGCAATATAGCCTCATAAATGAACAAATGCTTTTCATATCATTAACTGGATCTAATCTTGTAACAAAAAAGAGCTCAAATGAAAAGATTATAACTATGTTTCTATCATTAATTACTGACGATTCTATTCTAACTAATCGGAAACATTTGAAAACATGCTGATAAAACCAATTTGAAAATTAAATAAGTTTTTCTTAGTTTTTAACAAAAAAAACGCATATCGATGTTATCTTTTGCAAACCCTTGTATGCATGGGCATATGTATATATAACCGAAAGAGTATATAATGCGATGAAGACTATCAAATATCATTTACTAGTAACCATACGGTACTTTGCAACACAGAAAATAGGAGAGCAAATTGACTCGATGACATTTGAAGAGACACACCGCTTTTACAGTATCATTATATTCTCTTTCTCAATGCTTTTTTCGTATATTCATTGTTGATATTTAGATATAGTGGCAGACAAGCGAAACGTCATTATTTTTACTTGCCAACCACGCATATATCACTTCATTAGAGAATTTTATAAAAAGCCAGCTGGATACATGTGGTACATTTTCTTTCGTTCTTTTTTGTATTTTCTTCAAAAACCATTCTATTTAAGCTTTTGATCTCAACAATTGAGTAGGTTTTTATATAGATATGTATGTGTGTTGTAGGCTTCTTCTCTTGATAGAATGTCAAAATAACACTTGTTCTCACTTCGTCTCAAGATAAATGTGTTGTGAAGAAGACACGTGTTGAAAACATCAATGTGAATCGATCGTTATTGATTAATAAGCGAAAGATGAGCTGTTTCTTTTCGACTTTTTTTTTTGTTAATGCCGACGCCGTTACGAAATTCAAGTCGGCAAACGGCTAAATATTTAGAAAAAAATTTATTCAAATGATGATCATTTGATCGACAAGGGATTTATATGAAAAGAAATCATCAATGAATGTGAATAAAATCAGATGTGTATATAATT